TTCAATGCTATAATGTTAATGTTGATATCGATATGTAATTCGGTAAGATTAAAACAGCTCCTAACTCATTATTTTATTGTTAATTAAACATGAGACTTTATCAGGATATAAACTAAATTGACTCCTACGGCAATGGGGGCTGTAGGAGTTTAAAAATTAAGGTTCTCAATGATATTTACTAGCCATTTTTGTAGCAAACTAAGAAGCATTATTTTTTTCTTTGAAAACATAGAAATGTACTTAATATTGTGTAATATTATTATCATTATCATTATATCATAAATTCATAAATTATAATTAAAGTTTTTAGTTTATCCAATATCGATCTGCACTGTTACTAAAAAAGGTTGAGCTTAAACATGAGAAGTTGAGTGAAGTACAAACTGAAATTGATTTCTCGTGAACCTAATTCCTAAATTGGGGTCTTTGCCTTGAAAATCAAGTTTTTGATCATATGAATTACTATGTCCCATAAGGTCATTTTTAAGGCAAAGACCTCAATTGTTCTGGTTATCAATATCGATCTCACTATTAATTAAAATCTGTCTGTAAATGTTTTTTTCTTATCCAAATATGTTTGCAAAAAATTTGTCTTCAAAGGAGAAACGTGCTTTATCAACTGCACTTGATTTAATAAAGAACTTTGACAATAAAGTTTTTCATATTTTTGAAGATGGAGAAAGCTCTTATAGCATTATTGGCAGTCAAAAATTAAGTATGAAGATGGTTGGATCTTTACAAAGGAGGGAGATACGTAAATATTAGGAAAATTTTAATCTTAGCATTGTTATAATTCTTCAGTATTACTATAATTTTAACGCTTAGTACTGCATAGTAATTCCTGAAGTTGCCAAACTGAAACAAAGTTATGATAGTATATAATATAATTGATTTAATTTTTGCAATAATAATTAACTTTATATATGTACTATGTAAATTAGAATTAAACCAAAAATACGATAGTATTATATACTGTATTTCTCTTGCTTTGCTATCTTGCATGATCTAATACATTCTATATTCATTAGAACAATTATTTGAACTTGATAATTATAAAAATAGGAACACAGAAGGAGAAGATAATTCTGGTAAGTTTTTTAAATTTCTGAGAATTTTATTTACAGTCCTTTAAACCTAAATTTTTATTTAGACGTTGATATCCCGAAGCATGTTATCCTTTATAAGGATGATAAAAAAAGGATAATTTCATACTTCAAGAACTTTTTTGATCCAATCAACGCTGATCTATCTAAACAAATAACTGACAATTTTAACTTGGAGTTTAAGAACCAAAAAGAATTTGCTGATTTTCTTTTAAATCAAATAGAAACTAAAGGAAAGAAATTCAGTTTAGGACAATATAAAAAAATCTGAGAAATATATGATGAATTTATCAAAAAAGATCGTAAATTCAAACAATTATTAGATAAAAAAGTTGGTGTGAGTACTGTTAATGAATTTGTAAATGCCAGAAGTAAAGCTATCAAAGCTATTAAAATAGATGAAGCATTTAGTAGTGTGGTGATTTCATTAACATCCATTTATAAATCAAAATCTGAACCTCTAATAGATTATTTGATCACAGTTAAGGATAAATATGAATTTGAATACGATTAGAAATAATCATTTTTCTTTGTAAATAAATAAATTTTCTCTTAAGATGTTTAAAAACTTTAGGCTCTAACAAAAAATTTTATTATTTAAGTTTAAACTTTACTAGTTGACTTTTACTAGATGAGCTCAACTTTTACAAGTTGAGCCTAACTATTATTAGTTGAGCTCAACTTTTATGAGTTGAGCCCAACTTCATTAGTTGAGCTCAACTTTTACGATTTGAGCCCAACTTTTATTAATCGAGCTCAACTTTTACAAGTTGAACCCAACTTTTATTAGTTGAGCTCAACTTTTACAAGTTGAGCCTAACTATTATTAGTTGAGCTCAACTTTTACGAGTTGAGCCCAACTTCATTAGTTGAGCTCAACTTTTATGATTTGAGCCCAACTTTTATTAGTCGAGCTCAACTTTTATAATTTGAGCCCAACTTTTATTAGTTGAGCTCAACTTTTACGAGTTGAGCCTAACTATTATTAGTTGAGCTCAACTTTTACAAGTTGAGCCCAACTTCATTAGTTGAGCTCAACTATTACAATTTGAGCCCAACTTTTATTAGTCAAGCTCAACTTTTACAATTTGAGCCCAACTTTTATTAGTTGAGCTCAACTTTTACGATTTGAGCCCAACTTTTATTAGTCGAGCTCAACTTTTACAAGTTGAACTCAACTTTTATTAGTTGAGCTCAACTTTTACAAGTTGAGCCCAACTTTTATTAGTTGAGCTCAACTTTTACGAGTTGAGCCCAACTTTTATTAGTTGAGCTCAACTTTTACGATTTGAGCCCAACTTTTATTAGTCGAGCTCAACTTTTACGAGTTGATTCCAACTTTATTAGTCGAGCTCAACTTTATTAGTTGAGTTCAACTTTATTAGTTATATCATTATATTTTTTAAACAATATAAAATTATTTTTTTTTGTAATTTAGATAAAAATTTTTCGCACAATAGACGATTACAAAAATAAACAAAAAAGTAAAAAATAATATAATAAGAATAATAAAAAAGTAAAAAAAATAATAATAAAAATAATAAAAAAAAGAAAATATAAAAATTAAATTGTGCCGGCTTATTTCGCGAAGCTAACAGCTTTTTTCTGAATATCAAAAACTAGTATTATTTATATATTTTAGTTCTAACTAAAATAACCTATTATTTTTTATCAGAAGATAACTATCGATATTTTCATATTTTTCTTTAATGTTGGAAGTTTTTTTTTATTTCTAAGTGGTCTTTTTACAAGATTTGAACTATTTCTTGTTACAATAGCACTTCCGTTCTCATTAAATTTAAGTTCGAGAATTCCTGGACATAACTTTTTTAGTTTTGCTGCTTGTCTTAAAAATTCATCTGAAAGTAAGAATTTGTTTCTGTGATTTTCATTCATTTTCCAGTTCTGCAGTAGAAAAGAGTAAGTTCTATGTTGATAATGATAATGATAACGATAACAAAATTTCGCGACCAGGTCAAATCAAATTTCATGATCAGGTCCCAGGTATGATATCATCATTCAAATTTGAAATTGCGGGTATACATGCCCGCAAATTGACGTTCAACTAATCGATTAACATATGTTTGTGAAGCTTGTCAACAAAGTGATAGAGCGATCATTATTGTGAGATCAGAGGACTTTAGTTATGTGTACATTTTGTGGTTTATCCTTTTATAGATTATAGTAACTCTCGTAAACATAATGTTGGTAAACATAAATTTGGTAGAATCGATTCGTAACTCTGGTAAGCATAATGTTCGTAAAACAGATAATTAAATCGTAACTCTGGTACTCTAATTCTGCCCAAATTTATATTCAAATTCTGTACAAATCAAATACTAATTTATACTTTAATTTTGCCCAAATTTATATTCTAATTCTGCCCAAACTAGTGTTGGGTAACTTACATAAGTTATTTTAACTGACATAAGTTTTATTTTTTAAGATATAACTTAAATGTAATATTTTTATACATAATTTGTGACTGGATTTGGTACAATTTTTGATCCTGATGGTAGCTTGATTAAAAAAAATTTTTAATTCTAGCCAGCATTATTGTAATTTTGGCCAGCATTAATGATTTATATTTATAACTTAAATGGGAAGCAAAATTAAAATATTACTGCATGCAAAATTAAAGATAATTCTAGACAAAATTTTTAAACAAGATTAAATATAAATTCAGGTGATACGTTTTAGTTTATGAATATCACGGTAAGATTGTTTGGCCTGTATTAAACAAAAATGCACCAATTTGGGTAATTTTTGTACCTAAAGTAAAATCATATGAACTGGTAGGTGTCCAGAGAATTTCCTCAACATTAAGATAGAGATAAGGTCGCGTGAATCAAAATTCGCTTTGTGCTTTATTAAAAGGCCCATTTTAAATTTTTTTTTATTTAATTTTTGAATAGAACATATTCGTTAAAAAGAGACATATATCTTAAACATAATAAAATCATAATTATAATATTTATTTATTTGCAGTATAAAATTTTGAGATCAAAAACAAAAGCCAATTATTTAAAAAAGAAATGTTTAAAGTTATGCGAATTTTTTTGTGACAAAAAGGTTTTATCGTTTATTGTGTTGCAAAAGTTAATTTTTCTGTACCTGATTATTTTTGGGTAACCGTAAATCGAGAAAAAAATTCGATCTCGTGGGGTGCCGAACCCACTTGAAAAGCAATTTCACTTACTAAGGCCATATATAGAAATCTCAAAATAAATTGACCGTTTTGTTTTATCTTGGGCACAAACATGCATAAAAAAACTCGGTTTACGTGAGGTCATACTACAGCCGAGGCAGGATTATTTAGCTATCGAATGATGGGCTTACAGAAACTTGCCTACCACAATCAAACTCGATGTGGCTAGAATATGCTGTGCAGTGATTCTTGATCATTCCAGAAATTACTCCTGTACTGTTGTCTCATAACTCGCCCGTGGTTATGAGTGTAAAGTTTTTTTGATCGCATCAGAAATTTACCCGGCAGAGCTGGAACCCTGAGAACGATCCGATCGAAAACTCACAAAACTCACCTTCCTATTACTTGAAATTGATAGACAGGAAGGTATTCATCAATTTTAATGAAGTCCGTTCTATCTTAAAAATTGGCACAGATCACACTATCAAGAAAGAAAAGTTTACTGTTACGAAGATAAAAAATTTTCAGGTTATCACAACTTAATAAATGTACCAATCTACTCGCCCAAGGCACGAGGGCTATTTTGGATACGTTCGAGAGAACATCCCTTTGAGAGGCTAGAGTAGCATAACCCAGAGACCTGGTGATCACTAGACGATTAGTGACCCCGCTCGATATCCCAGGAATCAACACGAGAACGTATCTTCATGCTATTGTATTTGAAATTCTTTCTTTTCTCATATGGCTTCAAAGGAAATTGATCCTTTAGACGTACTCAAACATGGTGACGTCCAAAAAAAGACCTGGGAAGAACCATGTTCTACCTGCGATTTGAATGCACAAGCAAAGCTTTTGTTCACCTAGAAGATACCAGGCATGGCCAAGCATGAAGACCATCTGAAGTAATTCGTCATAACAACCTTAATTTGTTTGTCTAAAATTATGTTACTTTTTTTTAGGAGAATTTAAAAAAACATGCAAGGATACAGCTTCTTGTTTAATCGATAGTCTTCGTAAACTTTGTTTCATCGAGGTTTCTTGATTACTTTCCTTAAGATAAAAGGCTTGTTTGGTTAGTAAAATATAAAAATGTTAAAGAAGCTATTTTAAAAATGTTAACCCAGTCCCTTCAATAGAATAGCTCTAAATCTCATAACAGTATCACAAAGCTCTAAGAAAACGAACCAGATTCAGCAGAGCGAGTCTAGACATTCCAACCTACGTTGATGTTTTACAACCAACACCATCGCAACAAAGTCATGAAGTTTACATGAAAGACACCCATGCCCATTCGAACGAAGAATCTATGTTAGCACATACAAAGGTAAATTTGTCAAAGAGAGAGGTTAATTTTGAACCACGAGGTTTTCAAACTATGCTGTATAACCTCAAGAACCATCAGCATAGCCCAGCACAGATGAAAGAAGAAAAAGAAGGAATGCTAATCTAATATCTAATCCGATTTTCTTCTTTATTTTTCGACTTTTCTTTTCGACCCTTTAGACTTTTTCTTTTTTGATTCACCTTTTCATGAAAAAATCTGAGATAATGTGCGAATTTTTTAATAAATAAATAAAGCAGATATTGACTGGTGTAAAGAAAAGTTTCAAAGAGGCTTTTCTTTGGTGGTGCTAAGTTGGTTCTGTTTAACAAATATTCAAATATTTTACAAACTTAAGTATAAAAAATAAATACGAAGCCGTCCATTCGATTTTTTTTTTTTTTCTTTTTCCCGTTCTAGGATATATCTTAACGCACCCCAGCATGGTTTCAACTTTGTTGCCCTAAAGGGGTATCTTAAGCAATAGGATGCTTGAGTTATACTCGTGCTAGGTTTCAAAATGTACTATCATCGAAGGGTCAAAGGAGAGAGAAAAAGTGATCAGATAAGTATACACAGAAATAAACAAACAACTGTTTATGTTACATGAACGATCCAAAAATGGCAGTCCCGCAAGTATTTCAAAAAAATATTCCCGACATTAAAA